CTAAACAGAAAACCCAAGCACATGTCCACTGGCCCAAAATAACCGTATTGCCATTTCATATCAAAGGTAATTGTTATAATTTTGGAAGTTTTGTTTTCCACTCAAAACAGCCTTTCAGGCTATTCTGGATCAGACTAAATACAAAAAAATGCCTCTGCTACATGGAAGATGGACCACTTGGGGAAGCATTTTCCACATACTGGTTACCAAGAATAATGAGCCATAGTTTATTTTGCTAAAAGTGCTGCTAAAGTGCTAAGAGATTTTTCATACCAGCAGTCATACTTCTTTGTGTTGGAGTCTGTTTTCTAAAGAAGGGGGGAAAGTTATACTTGAGGCTAGTCAATAAAATATTGTTACATAATAAATGTTAGTGCTGGGCCACTTAAAATACAACTCTTTTGTGTCCTGTTCTGAATAGTCTGCTCATATACTGAATAATTTATGTAATGAGTGTTTCTAAATGGAGTAGGCACAAAATTAAACATATCCAATACGCTGTCAAGCTTTTTTTCAGTTTCATTTTTTTTTTTAGTTTCTTCTTGAATACCTCTACAGATTTTTGAAAGAGACCACTTTTTATACATTTGTTTGGCTGTAGGTAGACTAGCAAAACAGACTACATACAAAATCTGTCATCCATAGATCCTTCCCTAGCATGACTCATATCTGTACAGGCTTCAGTATTTAACTTACGCAAATGGCAAATGCATGAAAGAGAAAAGCAAATGTCATTGGGCCAGAAGGAGGTTCCAGCGCAGTCTAACCTCAGTCCTTGGGACTGGTTATGGAGCATATACTCCCAAAAGTAGTTTCTAAACATGTGAAGGACAAACAAGGTCATTTGGAATGGCCAGCGTGGATTTATGAAGGGCAGATCATTGTGACCAACCTCACTGCTTTCTGTGACAATGTGATGAGTGCTGTGGACAAGAGGTGGGTGGTGGATGCTGTATATCTTGAGCAGAGACTCCAACACTGTGTTGCATAGAGTCCTTATCATTGAATCAATGAGATAGGGACTGGCTAAGTGAAAAATAATGTAGTTGGAAGGTTGGCTGGACTGCTGAGATGAAAGAATCAAACAATGGTGCATAGTCCAGCTGGCAGCCAGCAAGTAGTGGTATCTTTCAGGAATCAGTATTGGGATCAGTGCTGTTAAATGTCTTTGTTAATAACCTGTGTGATGGGACTGAGAGCACCTTTAGCAGGTTTGTGGATAACAGCAAACTGGGTGAGTGGTTGATAATGCTGAGGAGCTGGGCTCTACTCAGAGGGATCCGTGTACCTTTCTTGAACATGTTCAAGAGCACCCTCCTGTTGTGGTTTAATCCCAGCTTAGCAGTAGAACACCAGGCAGGTGCTCACTCACTCCTCCCTCCTGTGCACCCCCAGCCTACTCACTGGTGGAGTGGTGTAAGAAGCATAAAAAGCCTCAACTCTAAGCACTCCTCAGCAGTAACTGAAACATCCCTATGTTATCAATACTCTTTCCAGTACAAATCCAGAAGATAGCCCCATACTGTCTACTGTGAAGAAAATTAACTCTATCCCAGCCAACACCATCAGAGATTGAGTTACCCACACTGGTGCCTGAGAACTGATGTAACTAGAGCTACTTGGAGTAGAAGATTGGACTAGATGATTTCCAGAGGTGTCTTCCACCCTGGAGTATTATGTGATTCTGTGCTGATGCCATGCAGAGTGAAGCTTGCTGTTTAGATGCTGGCTGTGTAAGTGCAATCCTTCAGGCTTGCTTTAAACAGACTCTGAATTCAGGGATTTGGTTTGTGAGGCATCCAGAAAGCTTTTTTTTTTTTGTGAGCTTTTTGTGAATTTTGTTAATCACATTGGAGTTCCAAGCAAACAAATAAGCCAAGTGGTGTACTGTTATCTGTAAGTATTCTTAAAGGCTATTTTCCATGTGAACGCATTTACAGCCCAGCCTCTCGGGTTAGCTTCCTTGAGATGTCTCCCATCCTCCTCTCATTCTGATGAGGCATAAGTTTTGTTGTCCATTTAATAGGTTTTGAGAGGTCAGGGCAAGTAAAGGAGGAAGGGAGAAGTACACAGCACATTTAGAGTAAGGAAGCTGTGGCATTCCCAGCAGGATAAGTATGGATAAAATCATGCTCTAGCTAATGTTGCTGGCTTATAAATGCTATAAAACAAGGAGGGGAAAAAAAAGAAGTATGTAAGTACGCCTCAGAAGAACATGTACAGTTAAATATCCCTCCCACAGCCTCTTTTTTTTTTATATATATATATAAATTTATATATGTATTCTATATAAATACATACTTTTTAATATATATGTAAATTTTTTTTTTTCCTCCCCCTCAATTTATACCTAAGTGTTTACACAGGTCAGAATAGTGGAAAAAAAGTAGGTATTTTTAAAGCTGTTTATGCTCTCTTTGCTGTGTTCCATTTTGAATTTTGACATTAGTGTCTTTTGAAAGGGAGCATATGGCATTTCTAATCAAGGCTTGTGATTTTCTAACATACAACTGAATAATGCATTCCAAATATCGATAAGCCTTCCAGATGAAAGAATTTTCAGGGCTGAAGCACTGTAGCTTTGTGATACATTTTGCTGGAGTTCATATGCTATGTAACACTGATCTCCTTAAGAACTTTGCATAGTGTACCAGTGTAGTGAGAAAATAAGGGGCTTGTTTCTTTTGTCTGATGTTAATATTCCTTGGCAAACTCAGGTTTGGATCAGATAACCACTAGGGTGCTTTGTTCCTGAAAACATTCAGTGTAACTTCATTTATAAACATTTTGCTCTGGTTGGGGATTTTACTCATCTTTATCAGATTTTGTTTCAGTCTGCAAGATTAGTTTGTTTTCACCAGTAGCTCTTGTAGAGAGGCACTATAGTTCTTCAGTCTCTTCAAAGGGTTTTGCTAATCTAATGTACAATTTGAAATTCAGTGAGATTTCTGATAAGCTTCTCTCATCTCTCAGGGCAGCATGTTAATTGTCCTTGAAATACAGTATATGCTATCTTTGTCTTCACAGTCCATTGGCAAATTTAGGCACTGATGATATTTTTATTAATGCCTTATATTTGACAGTTGCTGAGACTAAATTAGAAATGTGTAATTGAAGTGAGAGTGATGGGGGTGAAGACTTAAGAGGATAATTGTTCAAGTACTGAAGATGCTCTTCTGCTTGAACTACTGCTGTTGTCTACATAAACTTGGAGGTGAAGTGTTTAATGTTAAAGATATTAGGCCAACAACCAGATGTGACTGAGTAGTGTGAAGAGATTATCTGGGGGATTTGGGAAGCAGATGTAGCTTTGGTCCTCCTTTTTTGTTCTGTTTTAGCTTCTTGAGACAGCTCAGTTTATAGGTGAAGGCAGCCTTGGAGACCTTCTAAAATAAAAACTGTCCATAGTTTGATAGGTTTCTGAGGATAATGGGGCCGTTGCTGTGTCTCTTTGTTGTGTTTAGGTTGTGTAGTAAAGACGCTTAGAGTTGGAGCCCTATCAACGCTTGGGATTGTTGAAATTGTACTCATGTTTAATTTTTAGCAGCATTTTATTCAGATAAAACTGAGAAAAGTCCAAATAACTGCAAAGCCATGTTCATGAGCAATGTGACTCTGGGTATTCACAGAAGTAGGGAGGAATTTTATTTTGGAATGATAATGAAAAGTTGAGGTTTTTGGTTTGTTTTTTTAAAATGTGTTATAAATAAAAATGTAATTTCATTGTATTTGAGGTCCAGAAGGATGGTCAGGGGACTTGAGCATCTCCTCTATGAAGACAGTATGAGGAAGTTGGGGCTATTCAGCCTGGAGAAGTCTGCATGGAGACCTCATAGCTGCCTTCCAGTGTCTGAAGGGGGCCTACAAGGATGCTGGAGAGGGACCCTTCATTAAGGACTGTAGTGATAGGACAAGGGGCAATGGGTTCAAACTTAAACAGGGGAAGTTTTGTTTAGATATAAGGAGGAAGTTCTTTACTGTAAGGGTGGTGAGGCACTGGAACGGGTTGTCCAAGGAAGCCGTGAATGCTCCATCCCTGGCAGTGTTCAAGGCCAGTTTGGAGAGAGCCTTGGGTGAGATGGTTTAGTGTGAGGTGTCCCAGCCCATGGCAGGGGGGTTGAAACTAGATGATCTTAACGTCCTTTCTGACCCTAACTATTCTGTGATTCTGTGATTCTATGTGAGGAGTTGCTCAGAAGAGTTACACTGGTCAACTTACTGTGGACAGCTATGTAGACCTGTAAGACCCTTGGAAATTGGATAGCTAGTTGAGCACACTATCCCAGGCTCGCATACTCTTCTGGCTTTGTGTATTAGCCATATAATGATGTATCCCTTTGTAAGTGTTCTATTATTAATACTTTTGAGGTTTCTTTTCCATTTGAAACATTCTTTTCTGCTACATGCAATATAACCTTAAATGTTAGTGTTGTTTTTCTGCTGCTTATCCATGAATTTGTTTCATTAACAATATTATTTTGTGGCTCTGAGTAGGCTTCTTGATATCAGAGTATCACATGGGAGCAGAATGTCAGCCAAGGGATGCAGTATAATGAAGCAGCATTATGTGCTGTACTTCAGATGGGAGTTCTCTTTATATGAAGTCTGGAGTGGATGTGTCTTTTAGATAATACTGCACTGTGAAATTTCATTAAAATGGATAATTGACAGCCTTGAATCTTTTCTCACATAATGCTTTCCTAGATCCCAGCCCTTTTTCCTTAACAGTGCTGTCAACTGTTCTCCAGTCTTGTTCATTTAAACTTTATGGTAACTTTATTAATACACTTGTTTTGTCAAGTCTGCTAAACATTTTTTTGGTTCCACTAATATTTTCCATGTCATTTGATGTTTTTAAAACTGATATATGAGAAGAATTTGTCTGAGACCTGTATGTATGCATCTTTAATGTCTGTTCCCTTTGGTAAATCTGTGCATGCTTTAGGTTTTATTTTTTTTTCTGTTTCTTTTTCTTTTTTTTTTTTTTTTTTCTTTTGCAGAGAGTGATAATGAACTCTCCAGTGGCACTGGTGATGTGTCAAAGGATTGTCCTGAGAAGATTTTGTATTCCTGGGGAGAATTACTGGGGAAATGGTAATGTTTTGTTTCTTAAATTTAGACTGTAAATACTAACCTTTTTTTGTTTTATGAGACTATATGCTCTTAGCAGGAGGTTTGAAATTCTTCAGCTTACACAGTTTAAAAACTAAAATACGAAACAAATTGAATTATCACTTTAAAAGTGACTGGTAAATCCTCTTATTTTAACTTTCAGTTATTTGACAGATTTCTCCCACAGTGTCTGCAAAAGTCTTGTTTCATTCAGTGTTTGAGGATGTGTCCATGTATGCTCACACTTCAGGTGTCTAAACGCAGAACTTTCTGGCCACCTTGGGGCTGGATGTTAAGCTGTCATGAACGTCAGTGCTTCTTAGTGCTAGAGTGGAAAAGACAGAACAACTCTGCCCTCTGTAAGCCATTTGTGCTTGCTCATGTATGTTTAATTGAATGATTTTTTTATGAACACTAATTTTTTTTAATGGGATATATGTAGGCAGTTGGAAAGGAGTTCTAGAACGACTGTGATCCTCACTGAAACTGTTACTCTTGGAGAGTGAAATGGAGGCTATTTGTAACCCTAGAGTATGTTCTCAGCAGTGTTATTTTTATCGTTTTAATAAAGTCCTTCAGTAACAGCATATGCTTTGCCAAGATAGGAAAAAGTCTGTGTATTTTCTATCTCTAAGAGACCTTACAGTATTAGCAAATGCTAGAACCACTTACTCGGTTTTCCCTTTGTAAGTAATAGCTTCTGCTGCCTGAGACAAAAATAATCGGAGGCCCTTAGTCTGGAATTGGCAAAATTTTTTTTTCCTAACTTCAAAAAGAGAGTTGAAAAACATTTTAAGGATTTATTTGGGCAGTTACCCCCTTTACTTGGCCACTTTGTAGCTTTGGAGAAGCACAGCCTCTTGCTGCTGACCTCATCTTTAATGGAGATCTTACTCAGAGGTTAGTAAATGAGACATCGCAAGATTTTATTGAGCTTAATGAAACCCTTCCTCCTGCTTGTTTTAACTGTTTTGTCACCCAATAAAGATCTCTTTGGGAAGCACAAATATTTAATGAAATGGTTGTACAAATACACAGAGAGGAAAAGTGTGGGAGTCAGTTGATCCCTATAAAGTGTGTTTTCCTCACCTGAAAAGGCTGTAAATAGATCTGCTCTGGAGCTGTGTAGAACTTTCCAAAGCCTGTTCTAAAGGACATCCCAAGAGAGAGTTTATAAATTGTTTATGATTTTATATTGTACACCTCAAAGCCAACAATGATTTTGGCAGGTTTATTTCAATCTGGGTTGCATTTGCATTGGAAAATGCTACTTTCTGATTGTTGTGGGTTTTTTTTTTTTTTTAATTTAATTTTTCTGTCGGTTGATTAGTTTTTGCCTGTGCCAAATACCTGGACTTCTGAGGGTAAGCATGCTGACACAAAAAACTGCCCACAGCTCATCCTCTCAAATTTCACCTGGCCAACTATTTCTTCAAATTACTGTTGTATACTGTTCAATGAGACAAAAGATTTAAGACTTTTGGAGTAAACTATTTTGAAGTCCTAACATACGCATTTAACTTGGAGAATCATTTCATAGTTAAAACACCTTACTTCAAATCAGTTAAAAATTGGATGAGAAATGGGAAATCCCGGACAGCTTAAAGACTAGCAGTAGCAAACATTTTCTTCAGGAGTGTCTCAAGGATTATTAACTTTGGAGTTAAATTCAACTGTATAAAATACTTGAATTCTTGAATAGCATGATGTTCTATGTTAAAAACAAAACCTGGAAACAGTGACATATGAAAAATGTTAACAATTTGAAAGCTAAAAATAGATTGAAGTAAAATCTTTTGTGTTGAAAATTGTACCATATGCTAGTGGAATATCTGTGCACCTATTAATTTTTGTTTATTTACTTTTTACATTTCCACTTGGAAAACTGGTGTGCTTATTTGTCAGATGAAAAATTTCTTGCACCTTAGTTGCTTCTTGTAATTCCATTAAAATGTCACTCTAACCTAATGGTCTGACTCAGCAGAAACATTGCTCCAAGAGCCTCCTTCAAACATATAAACAGCAATAAGATAATTTACCAAAAAGTCAATAAGCAGGTGTGAAGTAATGGAATAACTTTTAAATTGTTTTACTGTTTGCAACATCCCTAGCATGGAAGTTGTTCTTGCAAGCTAGCTTAGCTGAGTATGGAACTGTTTCTGATGTAGGTGGTGGGGTTTTTGATTGTTTGCTTTTCCTTGTGTTTTTGGGTTTTATGTTAGTTTCTTTCTTTTGTTTGTGGGTTTTGTTTGGTTTTTTTTTGGCAGTAGTAATAGTCAATAACAATCTTTGATTAGAAATATTTGTTTACTTGTTAAGTTGGAACATAATCTATGCATTGCTGCTTTATATCCTTCCTCTTTGATGTTTTAAAATTGTCTTTGCATTTTGTGCAGGAGAATTGCAGCACTTTGTAGCAAATTAAAAGATGTCAGCATTCATGAATGACACATTTCTTTTCCCCTAAAAAAAATACGCTAAAGGATAAGACTAGAATAAGACAAGCTTTTTTTTTTTTTTTTTTTTTTTTTAATGCTTGTTTCTCTTGTGGTCTGTCCAAACAGATGTCAGAAAGTGTCTAGAAGTGTGAAGTGCCTGGGCCTCTACCCAAAGGAGGGATAAATGCGTATTTGTTCATTATAGTAGAATACAGAGCAAGGACTATTAATGATCAAGCTGTTCCTCAAACAGACATTGAGAAACTGAGAAGTTGTCTCTTAAAATTACAAAGTTATGCTTTACTGCATGGACTAATGTTGCTAAAGTATTACCTGTACCATAAAACTAGTTCGATATTTAACAAACTATTTCAATATTTAACAAATCTGGTATACTGTATCATGTTTAATTCTCAGTTGTACATTCAGTAGTAAGGATGGCATTACAGCATGGCATTTGCATCTCTGTTAGCTGTTGCCATAAGCCATTTGTATTGTTTTCTTGATGTTGCTGAAAAATTACAGTATCACAGTATGCTAGAGATTGGAAGGGATCTCGAAAGATCATCTAGTCCAATCCCCCTGCTGGAGCAGGAAATTCCCTGACACATTTCTGTGGGAATGTTCCTTTTTAGCTGTTCATTTTATTTTACATGCTTACAGAGTCCTCAGTGAAGGACACCTGTGTTTCTCGTACAACACATATCATAGGAGGTTTGGGTTGGAAGGGACCTTAAAGGTCATACAGTTCCAACCCCTTCTGCCATGGGTAGGGACACCTTCTGCTAGACCAGGTTGCTCAAAGCCCTGTACAGCCTGGCCTTCAATGCTGCCAGGGATGGGGCAGCCACAAGTTCTCTGGGCAACCTGTTCTGTGCCTCACCACCCTCACAGTGAAAAATTTCTTCCTAATAATCTAATCTAAACCTTCCCTATTTCAGTTTGAATCCATTCCCCATTGTCCTGTCACTACTTGTCCTTGTAAAAAATCCCTCTCCAACTTTCTTGTAGACCCCCTCTAGGTACTGGAAGGCTGCTGTAAGGTCTCCTCTGAGCCTTCTCTTCTCCGAGCTGAACAAGCCCAACTCTCTCAGCCTCTCTTCACAGGACAGGTGCTCTGATCATCCTAGTGCCCCACCTCCAATTAGTACCCAAACTAATCTGATTTGAAGTGAGCTATGGATGCTTCATTTTCACACAACCTGAGCTTTAAATTTCTGATGTGGTGGTTTTAATTTTTTTTATTTGTTTTAATTTTATTCCTGATCGTACTTTTCAAAACTTTGTAACCACTTATCTAGTTCTTTTTAATATTTCCATGAATATTTTTTATTTCTAGCTTTTTCACATCACAAGGCCGTTAGTCTAATGTGATTTTGCTGCAAGATGTACTGAGAAAGAGAAAAGGGACTAGTTGGCTTTTAATTTGGCTAACTGAATGGTAAAGTTTGAAATTACTTGTATTGCAGTACACATGTAAAATTTAAAATAATTTAGTGCTTAAAAGAATAAGGACATTATGTAATCATACTCTTTCTTAGAATTCTCAGGTCATTTGGAAAAATGGGTATATAATCCTTGGAGCATAGGAAGAAGAAATTTCTTTAGGGCACCTTTTAAACAGTAGTAGTGGTGAACTGTTTACACCTTGATGGACCGTTTCAAAGAATGAGTACTCTAAACCTTCACTTAAAATGGAGGATGAAACTGTAGGTTATTTAATTTAATTGCAGCTTGCTAGCATTTGGCTAAACTGCTGCTCTCACTATTCTCCTACAAGTAGAGTTGAAAAACATAATAACAGTCAAAACAATAACAGATCAAAGCACTTCCTACATTGGAAAGAATAAAGAGTCAATTCACACAGGCTTCCTGCTGCATTGCTATGAAAATTACCGTAAGTCAAAGCGAGGTTTAATCTAGATCAGTAAACACTATTAACTCAGACAGGATTTTAAACATCTGTGACTGAATGCTCAGCAATATGGTCCATGTGCAGTGATTTTTATCATAAATGCATGGGTTTAGTGACTGGATTATTTTTTGAAAAACGCATCTTTAGAATTCAGTCTGTCTGATTATGGCCTTTTCATAATTCAGTGTACCAACTTTTGTAGGATTAATTGCAGTGTTGAAAAATAAAACACCAGTCATCCTGCAGTTGTCTTCCTGCATTTCTTTGTGTGTGTACAAACACACAAGATAGTAAATCACTAGCTCAGACTACTAGGCAGATTTATTTGGAATGGTGGGATTTTACCAAGGTATGTGCAAGTGTTATGGCTTTGTGGCACTTGAAAAATACTCTTGGCATGAAGTCTGAAACTGGAACTTCAGTTTTCATGTTAGTACTTCTGAAACTGACTTTTGTTTGTTTTCCAAAATTTACTTTTCTATGTAGCCTAGGTTATTTTTAATTTCCTTTTTTTTAACCTAAGCTAAATGTATATGTTGAACAAATATTTAAATTGAATTATCTGCACAGATGCATGGTTTCCACTTTCAGTTCCAGTTGTTCTTCATTAGCCAGTTTGGTTAAATTTCTGCAACTGATTGTTGTTTTAATTTTCATTAATTTCTCTGCACCTGGAGAATTTGTATATAACTATATTTTTGCCACTGGTTCTTATTGTACATCTTTGCAGAGTTTTTGCTTTCCATCTGCTTTTCCATCCATTACTACTTAGTGTAACCAGTGGAAGAAAAGTTTGTGTTGCCAGTAGTTAACTCTAGTTTTCAGAATAATGTTGGGAAGTTAAAAACTTTTAAAGATTTTTATTTTGATTTCTGTTCAAGTAAGTATAATATTCAAATGATTGTTTGTTTCTCAGGCACAGTAATCTTGTTGTGAGACCAAACGGGTTGTCTACTCTGGTGAAAAGTGGTGTTCCAGAAGCACTAAGGGCAGAGGTTTGGCAGTTGCTGGCAGGATGCCATGACAACCAGGCAATGCTGGATAAATACAGAGTTCTCATCACAATGGTAAGGGTGGATTTTTTTTTTTTTGTTTTTTTTCTTTTTTCCCCCCTCCTGTGGTTAAAATGAGTTCTGAGCAGCAGTTTTATTCACTGACAAAATAGGAAAAGGGTGAAACAGTTTGCCTTTTTTTAGGCAACTGAAATTGTTATTAGGTGATTTTACCTCCTGCCATGTGTACCTGCTGAATGGCATTAACAATAGAAATTGTTGACCTATATCTGTAGTAATGCTTGACATTTAGCTTTCTGTCCACTTGCTGTGATTATAATAAGCACATCAGCTTGTTGTTCAGGTGTTTGGTTTTTTTTATTAAGTTTGTTTTTTCAACAGTTTCTGCTCTCTATACGCCTAATTTTTTCTGTTTTTTACTAAAAAAAAAAACACCCCAACCCCCCCCCCCCCCCCCAAGAAACAGCAATAACAAAAAAAAATTAAAGAATGGGGCAACAGAAAAACCCCGAAGAAAGCCTCACAAACTTGGGTATTTCTTACTTCTTTGTTATTTGTTTTAAGAAAGAATGTTAATGCCTTTTTTACCTACCAGTAAATCACTCTCCTTTCTGTATGAGTGATTTGAGAAGAGAATCTTTCTAGGAATCTGTTTCCATTCTGTATCGTAATGCCATCAGTAAACAATTTTAAGAAATTGCATAGATGTTCCATATTGCTTATAGCTGTGACTGAAAGAATGAGAACTACTGTGTTGCAGGAACAGAAACTCTGTGCAGTGTCAGGAGGTAAACTCACCATTTGGGGTTCTAGAATTCTTGCCACTGCAGGGTAGTTATGTGCTCTGAGAAAAACAGTGCTCTCAAAAATGGCCATAATGACAGAAACAGAGGAAGATAATTTTATGTTGCTCAGAGAAAGTGTTGGATTTGTTATGTAGGAAATGAATCATCTGTCCATACAAAAATTCTGGGGTAAGCGATGTTAGTAAAAGTTGCCTTGCATAATGTTGTTGTATCTTTTTGATACTTGTCCTCTTAATTTGACCTACCTGCTGTGTTTGTAAAGTTTAAAAGCCTCCCAAGAGTGAGAGCTGTCCTCATGGCTTCTTTTTCCTTTACACATAAAGAAGAATGTTTTGATAGTGTAAATTTTTCTTTTTGACATTGTAGTTGGGTTATATTTTCCTTAGAAACCATTCACAAGACATCTGTCAGCTGTATGTTGCATCAAAACCACCTCCATTATTTTGCTCTTGCTTTCCGAAAGTGGGGAAGATGTTTGGTTCACGGCGGAGGAGGGAGTGAAAAACTTCTCAGATGCAAGCCTTATCTTGATGATGGGGCCTTATGCCTTAAAAACACTTTGCTGCAGTTGGCCCTTTCATCATGGAAATATTTCAGTGATGTGTATGCTGGAACATGACATCGTATGCAACATTCAATGTAAAATATTATGCTGTTATGGATTAGGAAATTAAATCCTATTCTGAATTGAAACATTTTTGCAAACTTTTACTTCAGGAAAAAAAATCTTTTATTGTGAAATCACAAAATTTCTTCCATGGTCTAGCTGTATCTAACTGCTGGTAATCACATCATTTGGTATACATTGCATGAAAGGTTTCATGAAAAGGAATGAACAGGAGAGAGTCTATGGCAAAGCGAAGACTCATTTTTAGGAATAGTTAATATTGGTGCTCCAGAAAAGCTTGTCAACTATTTTTTTTTTTTTTAAATTAATTATCTGATATTTATGTCTGTGAAGAGATAGTTTCATTTTGGTGTGTTGGTAATGTGAATTAAGCTATTTGGGAAAGAGAGAGAGGGACGGGTATGTATATATTATTTTCTGAATCCTCCTAAAGGCTTTATTGTAGTGTTATGTGTGTCAATAATAATATGCATGTTAAACTTCAGAGTTATTTGGGTATTATTGATTGCTCACTTGCTTCTCCTGTATGAAAAAGCAGGATTGATTTCTTTTTCCTGCATTGTTTGTATGCAACTATCCTAATACACCAGCAACATGTACTTTATTTTTTCAGTCAAATACGTAGCTTCTGTCTTGATTCTTTCAGTTAATGCGTAAGTTTACATAGATTCGTTGTTTCCTTGTATTTTGGTCATTCTACTTAACATTTCTCTCTTGTTTAGGCTTACTTCTGGAAGCTAGATATTTTTGTGAGTGTCTTGACCACTTTAGTAGTGTATTCTGTAAGTGTGTGCATTCCTGAGTGTATTTCCATAAGACACTCCTAGGTGATTAGAGGTGGCAGTGTTCTGCACTTGCCGTGCTGAGAATAAAGTGTGCTGAGATACAAGAGGTAGGAGATGTGAAAAGATGTGAACTTGGCCCCCAACCTACTCACCTTCTCACACAACTCCCCCTCAAAGCTTTCTCCTATAAACAGCTCCCCATTACTTCCTTGAACATTTTGTAACAATTTCAGAGGGCTAACTTGAGGAACAGTTCTTGAAAACTGTCATTTTACTATCATAGCTTAAGAGGTGATAGTTGGAATTACCAGTAGGATTCCTAATTTATGACTAACTCAGAAAAATCTGATAAAAACTGTAACTTTACTACAGCGTTGCTGTTTTACCTCCTTGTGTAACTGTTCTTGCTAGTGGAGGAGGGTAATTGTATTGGCAGGACAAAAATGTGTTCCTTGTGATGAACTGAATGATAGCAGATTCTCAACATCTTAATTTAGAGACTGATACAGACAAATTTGTTGTTCTACTCCCCTTGTGTGCAGTTTGTGCAGTAGTATGTTAGATTGGCCGACTATTATTCACATCCCTTGACAGATTTGGTATACATCTTGCACTGTATATATCCATTTGTTTACAGAGCTCTGAAATCTTCTACAGTTTTTTTTCAGTTAGAGGAGTGTTTTGTTCAATCTGTTCTGTAGGAGAGTAATTTGGGGCTTGTTTTAGTGTTTCAGTTCAGCACAGAAAGCAAAATAAAATCTCTGTCTTATTTAGAAAAGTCAGTGCTGTACTTAATATTCTGCAAAAAGGCATGTCCTCATGTCCTCTGCAGTGGAGGTCAGCAGTCTGTCAAGAATGATCTAGTGAACTGTGCTTCCTTTCCCATATCAGAGCATTCACATGCTGATGCATTTCCCATTTCTAGACAAGTTTGGAGTTCCAGGAGGAAAAGGAGAAAGAAATACTTATGCTCTCACAAATACTTTCTTACTGACAAGTACTATCTTGCTAAATCTTATGTCTCCTACTGAGTTCCAGCTTGGTGATTACTGTGAGCCTCTCAGAAATTTTCACTGGAGCACAGTAGTAGGTCTTGCATACAATTTTAGAGAGTAGGAGTTGTAATTTGGCAGCTGCTTCATTTCTGACATATATATAAATCTCTACTGTATAACAGTCAAAATCTGCCTTAGTTACTCTTCTGGCATGTGTGCCATTGGCTTTTGACCTTGTTGCACATGGCACAGTATAAGAAAGGGGAAACAAAACATAAATCAGCAGAGGTAAATGTGTATATATTTATCTTTGTATGTTTATTTATTTTAAGGAAAAGACAAAGGCAAATCAGAGTGAGAAAAATCTGCTTATGTGGTGATAATGAAGGGGTAGTACTGGTACTTGTATTAGAACTTTTATAAAAGCATGTCAGATCCATTTGTTAAAAGATTATAAGTAGAAAACCATGCAAAAGGTAGAGTCACTTAGCTGACAGAGTTTTTTCTCCTGCCTACTTGTCATTATTTCATGCTCAGCTTCACTGGCTCCTCTCAAGATATTCGGTGAACTTTTCTATGACAAGATGTATTTTGAGCTTCAGTAAACTGATCAGTGGCAAGCCACAGTTTACCCCATTTACAATTGAGGTGACTGAATCCTCTGCAGCAATAATTATGTTCCACTTGGCCTCGCTGTGTCCCTTTCAAGTGTCAGGTGCTGTCAATATGTAAATTATTAGAAATCTGCTGTCACTTGATGGCAGTGATAAAGAAAACTTGTATCTGAATTGCGGCAGATGTTTTATTTATTGCGTCTTACACAGTGTCTTATTAACATTTTGCTTTTCTGCTTTAGATGGTTTCATTCTTGTATGTGTTCTCACTCTGAATTTGTAGGGCAAGACTTTCCATCCTTTTCTGTGTTACTGGCTGGGTGCCTGTTTTGTAATGCTGTTACTGATGACTTTTGAAGTTACCCACACTCAAATCCCTTTTCCTAAGTTTAGAAAGAAAGGGTTGTATGTAGTTGTGTAAGTAAAATAATGAAGGCCGAAAAAAGGGCAGTCATTCACATTCTGTACTTTGAAAACTTTCTTTATAAACCACTTTCCATATACAGTCTGACTTCCATTAAGAAATAAGCTGTATGTACAAAGTTCATTTAACAGCATATATAGACTTTTAAAGGCTGCTGCTCTGGTTTAAGGAAACAAAGCTTGTTTTAAATTTATCATTCTTTAAAGATTGATCAGAAAAAGAAGCCTGGTTTCAGATGAATTAGGTGCTGGCAGTATTATGTTGCTCAAAAGTAATGAAAGTTTGCGTATGAATGTGAATGCCCATGAGATGGATGGTGACTTTGAGTCTTTAAGAAAGACCTAGTGGCTGTCCTTCCAAATGACATAAGAGGACCAAAAATAAGATTATTTGTATATTATCATAATTTCCTTTGGCAATATGAGCATTTGCCCAGAGCAGTTAGAGATAACAAATTAAAGGGTCAGGCTTTGGAAAAGTTGGCCAAAAAATAGCTTTGTTTGCTGACTCTGTAATGTTGTATTGCATCTGGGCCAATAATGTTTCAAGCCACTCACTAGAAGAGTCAAAATCTTAAGAATTCTTCCACAAGCTGAAGCAAATATAAGAGGCATTGATTTGGGGATTAAATATTGCCATATCATGAAAATAAGGTATCTCATTAATGCAATAATTTGAAATTGGCACTAATCGCACAGTTCTCGTGCAGTAGGGACCAGTTATCTGAAAGTACATTCTGGAGCAAATGTATTGAGATTTGGCCTATATGAAATCTAATAATTTTAGAGGTAATATATGTTGT